CTGCTCAGAACCCAACGGAGAAGCTCTGCTCATGTCCCACCAGCCCCCATGCAAGTGAAGGCTACGCATGCTGCTACCCAGCCTGATTGTCTAGAGACTCTGGAAGAGCTAGAAGTTCCAGGAGGTTGTCTCAAGAAACACGACCCTTAGCTTGTCGGTGGTGGTCACCGTGCCTGTCTTCTTCTACCACCACCCCTCCCTGCCCTCTCCAGCCAACGTCCCGCAGCACGACCCTTCCCAACAAACAACGGACAATTCCTTCTCTCCCTCCGTCTCCCCTGCCAAGACCCTCATCCACCCAAGATATTTCCAGAGATCCTTGTGAGCATACCTACTTGTCTATTTGAATGGCTGAGCTATTTGATTGCATCAACACGGCGGAGGGGAAAAAAACAACCAAACCCAACATCCCATGCTGATGATCTACTGCAGTCAGTGATGTCTGCTCTGCAGGGTCTCCCTGCTGCCTTGTGTTGAGTTAAAAAGTCACAGAGAAAAAAAGTAATAAACCCCAAAGGAAAATAACCCCCCCCACAAAAGATATGAAAGAAACTAGAGATGGATTTGGGATGGAATTTGCATATTCCCTTCAGGCGGAGCTCAGTGGCACATCTTGATGGGAGCGGGGTGACCTCAGCAGGTCACTGGCTGCTCATCCCCTCGGGAGGAGAAGCCAGTGGGCCAACTGCTGCTCTCACTTACACTGGTGTTCATCAGGTGTAACATCATTGGGGTCAGCAAAGCTACCCCCAGAGGGGCAGTGCAAGCAACAGTGCAATTGGCCTGTTAGTCTTGAGCAAGGATGGGCCTGGATCAGGACCTCGGGTCCAAACAGCCCCCAAACCTGCAGGAAGCTTGAATCTAGATGCAAACTGCCTGCCTGGCTCTTCTCTCAGTCATAGGCTGAAGCCCCAACCCAGGGCCTGTCCAGCCCTGGACATTGGTTGAGTTTGGATCCAGGTCTGCACCTGGGAGGCCTGATCTCTGATCTGTACAGTCCCAGACACTGGAGCCCAAAAAGACCTCCCAGGCTGTACATGGTCCACGCCTCCCCTGCTTGGGGTTCCCCCTAGTGCTGCGGTGCGCGGTGTGAGCTGTGCTCCTCTGTGGGCCCTGTGGCTGGGCGTAGCTACAAGACGGGGAAAAAAATGTGTTGAGTGGAACAGTGCAAATTTTCCCAGGGATGGAGGAGGGAGCGGTGTGTGCTTTCCTTTCATGGTGGACACCATCTTGGCAACGGGCAATGAGAAACTACCGAGGCAAGCAGCCAGTCTGTGTGCTCCTGGAGCGCCAACATGCTCTTAGCGCCTGTCTGGATGTTTAGGACCATTTGGTTTAAGGTGCATTTCTCTGTAGGGATTTTTTTGTTGCTGTCTTTGAAACAACCAAACAAAAATTAAGTGCTTTATCTCGATGCTTGTGGGTTTGGGGTTGGAATCTGGGTAGCACTGACCTGCCAGGTCTCGTTAGCTCAAGAGCTGTCGCCGGCAGAGCTGCCACATTTGACATCTATGAGTGGAGACGTGCCCAGCAGATATCTGCCCTGGCTTGGCTTGCCACTCCCTCCGTGGCCGTGCTCTACTGCACGTGGTAAGATTGCTCCGAGGCTCAGAGGTATGAGCTGCCTGCCCTCCAAACTCCAGCTGGGTTCATGCGAGTTTTGCCTTCAAGTGCAGTTTGGAGCTGGTCTCCAGGCAGGTACGACTGGAGGAGAACAGCCAGATCAGATGTGCTGGGGGAGAGATATCTGGGTAGGATGCACGTTCTCATCTTCCGTTCCCTGTCCACCAAGAAAGCTCCAGTGCCCCCCACCTCCACCCCCTGTTTTCCTCGATAAGAACACAAATCAAGTTGCTGTGTCAGTATCTCTTGCACTAAAGGGATTGGATTGTTGTCAAGGGTTCCTTTAACAATGCTACATCCCAGCCTGGGCTGCCACAGCGCTACCAGAGTCTGTCCCCGCCAGGCGTGTGATTCACTCGCGTTTGTTTTTAGGTTGCATGTGATTTTTTTTTGTGGGTTTTGTTTGGTTTTTTTTGTCTTTTTTTTTTTTTTTTTTTGCTTTAAATTGAATCATTTTAAACATTTTTATCAGCAATTTTTTTTTTTTTGCATTTTTTTAAAATAAACTAAAGCTACTCGCGTTGCATTGTCCTTGCAGAAAACAATACTGCACATTGCATAAAGAGGAGTCTCCCAAGGACTTTCCAAGCCCCCAAAGCATGCGTCCCGCCGTCCCTTGCTTCAAATGCCTGCCCGTCTGGCCCACAGCATGGAAACTCAACACAGATCATTAGAAAATCGAGAGAGAAAACAAAACGAAAAAAAAAAAAATGAAGAGCTTTCTACAAGTAAAAGTCCTCACAACACCACGATGGCTCATCCCACCCCTTCCCCACCCAGCTACCTAACACTGCCGGCAAAAACATCTGAAAACAAAGCCATGTTTTTCTTCCATGTCCAATGGCTCCGGCTGACATTGCTCATGGAGTGTGTGCGTGTCTGACTGAGATGGTGCCTGAATGGAGGGAGTCTCCTGTGCTTAGCGTGGTAGCCTCCAGCACTTTTTGCCTCTGTGGATGCACCATTGTTTGAAGGCATCTCTACTGGCTTCAACGCAGGGGTTGGACTGCAATGTAGAGGTCATCTAGAGACCAGAAGGGGGGTGATAACTGACTGCCCCCGTGTTTAGACCCAGTCTGTACAAAGCTTGTTCTTTTGGGGTGTTTACCCCTCTGCAGAAAGCCAGCGCAAGACCACTGCAGTCCCATGAGCTCCGGACCTCACTTCAAGGGCTGCTTGGACCCAACAGGAGCAAAGGTCTAGTACGAGACCTGAGCACAAGGGTGACCGCTCACTCAGGCGTGTCCGTACAACTGCTGGGTTTGCAGCAGACAGTCATTTGTGCCTTCCCAGGGTAGGGGCAGGGGTGAGGGGAGTTTAGCCCTGATCTTACTCCCCTGCTGTAAATCAGGTGTGACTCCACTGGCGTCAGTTTGGGGCCAGGTGTTGGCAGCAGGGGCAGGCCCTGCGCTGTGATGTCCAGAAGGGGGTTGGGGCCCTCCTGAATGCTGTATCCAGCATTGCCCATTGGTGCCATTGTAATCATGACCCTCACCAGGCCGGTTCTCCTCTCCAGGAGGTTCGGGGATATAGAGAATCCCAGGTCCTATTTAAAATGAAAAGGTGAGATTTTAGCCATGTTGGGGCAAGTGTGACATCCCGTGGGGGGCTCAGGATCCAGATGGCAAAGAGCAAGACCCAACATGATGATGAAATCTCACAATTCTTAAGCCAGTCTCTGACCCTGGACCCTGACATGGGCTGTCCCACCT